TTTCATTCTCTTTTATTTTAAATTTATATACCATTATTATTATTTACTGCCACGAGAAATATAAAGATAAACTACATCCTGCATGAACATATTTCTTTCACACAAAAGTTATGCATATTTGTCATTCTTTGTTGTCATGGAACAAAAATGCAACTGTTCGTTTAAAATTTGTATCTTACATTATGGTAATAATTTTTAAATTATTGCTTTTGTATACATAAAAAACTCTTACATATGAACAAAAATATAGACGAATATTTTTTTATACATATAAAAACTATTTTCAATTTACTTTTCTTCATAGTGAGTTAAGGGGGTATTCCTCATTAGGGGGGGGGGGTCAACAAATCGACTTTTTTTTTAATTTAATTTTCTTAAAGTTTAGTATCTCAAGAATATATTCTCAAAATCTTATAGCTCAATTCGACAAAATAACAGCGATTTTAAGGATATGATGGAAGGGCTAACCGTATATTGAAATTGCAGGTTAAAATTCAAACGAGTTTTTCTCGAAACAGTGTTTTACGAATTGTCTTACATGATTTCTCAAAACTGGATTATCCGATCTCTTTCAAATTTGGCGTGCATATAAAGTAGGAGTACCTTTATCGCTCGTACCAAAATAATGTCAATATTTACAACAGTTTTTGTTTTGTGGCTTGAAGAAGTAAAATTTTTAGTGAAAAAATAGTTTTTTGACTTCAAATAGCTGCCATTTTGACAGGACACGGTTTATATGTTTCATTTTGGTACGGGCTATAGCCACACTCATACAGATTAAGATTATCTTTGATTTTTTCATTTCCGATGAATACAATCGCTTGAATGATGTAAGCCATCCAAAATGACACATTACGGGAAATATATAATAACATGAATAAAATTAAAGATAAATGAATAAAAATTACACAGTATCTTTTTGAAATAATCTGTATACAAAATAATAAGTTTCTTGGACTATAACAATTCGATAAATTTCTCTCCTAAATATCACCAAAAAGCGACGATTCTAATGAAGAATACCCCCTTAAAGTATATTAAATTATGTTTAAGTTCTAGATTGTATTGATTCCTTTTTTTAATACAATAATTGAATCAAATGACATATAAGTCAAATAATATTTAAAAATTTTATATCGTTATATGGACAATTCCATTGGAATGTTACAAAGTTCAATAATTGAATTTCATTAACATAATAGCAAACATTGATGAAAACAATTTTTACATTTAACTGATAATTTGATATTATTTTGCTTAACCAATGTAACAAATTTTATTAGGTTGAAATAGCTAAATTAATAAGTTATAAATGTATCAAAATTGGAATTGAAATAAAATTTGTGCTTAAATGACAAAAATGGTCGTCATCATGATATAATTATCATGTTAATACTAAATTAATACTAAAATGAACTCAAAGCAATTCGGTCTAACGGAACATTATTTTCCATGTTAAATGCTTCGCGTGTGATAAAATTTTGTCATCAACTGCTTCTTTTACTCCATGGTTGTTCTGTAGCAGATGCAAAAATCAAGTAAAAACAATTGCAGCAAATGCTTGTGGATTTTTAGCACCATATATTATTGGAAGAATAGTCCAAGGACATGTTAGTATAATAAAATAAATACTTTATCGTTATTAATAACGATAAAGTATTTATTTTATTATACTAACATGTCCTTGGACTATTCTTCCAATAATATATGGTGCTAAAAATCCACAAGCATTTGCTGCAGCATTTGTAAGTCCATAAAGAGTTCCCGCATATCGTGGTGCTAAAGCAATGTGATTCATTTGATTTCCTGCGTACATTGCACCCTGTAGAGATCCTAAGCCAGCGAGCATTATCATAACCATAACACTATCACACTCAGCCCAAATAGCGCCAATAAAACTGAGACTGGGTCCTAACGTAGCCACTGTGTTCCATAACTTAAATGATGCTAAAGGAGATAAAAGCTGACTGGCAAGGAGGGCATCTGCGAAACTTGAAATACCAAGTCCGACTAACCAAGAAGTTAAATAAGGCAGTGCTGAAAGAAATGAATCTTGTTGTACATCAAAATGCAAAATTTTGCCCATATATGTTGGTAATTCTGTCAAAAGAGTATAAAATGCCCATGACTGTCCACATTGTGTAATAGTTATAGCCCACATTGGCAATGATGTAAATACTGATAACCAAGGAAATCCTGGGTCATTGTCCTATTTTTTAACAAAATAAAAATTTTAATCAATGGAAAGGGGGATACATATTTAATTTAATATAAAATTGAAATAAACCTCATCTTCCTTTTCCACAGTACTCTCAATGTATGCTCTTTCAAGAGGATCAATTTTTGTATGTTGCGCAGGTGTATCAAATACAAAAATCAACCAAAATGCATACCATATAATGCCAAGACCTCCAAATAAATAAAATGCAAGGGGCCACCCACCCCAAAGTTCTAATGAACACAGCCATCCACTCATTGGTAAGGATATAATAGTTCCAAAGTTTGTACCTATATGAAAGTGAATATGATAAATAAAATTTATTATATTACTAAAAAAGAAGAAACTACCTGCATATACTACAGCAGCAAATTTGTTTCTTTCCAAAGGAGGTATCCAGTGTGCTACCATACTATACATAGCAGGAAATGTAACACCCTATTTAGAAAACAATAAGTTATTTTAATAAATGTATATATATAAATAAAGAAAATGTTACCTCTGTAAATCCTTCTGCCACTCGTACAGCTAAAAATGGTATCAATCCTGCATATGCTGCAAAGGGGCTAATTACAGTAAGAACTGCAGTCAAAAATACTCCTAATCCATATATTAACTTTCCACCAAATTTTTCTGCCATTCTACCACCTGGGACATTTGTAGTTACATAACCAAGGAAAAAAGCACCCAATATAACACCTTGTGTTTTTTCATCCCAATTAAATTCTCCTGCACTCTTTAGAAATTTACATTAATTTTCAGTACCAATTAATTACTCTTATTAGGATTGAATGATAATTTTTAATCATATACAAAGAAAAGCACTATTAACTTTTTTACATTAAGTAACTAAAAACAAATCTTGTTTCCAAAATAAAAAAAAATAATAGTATCAAGATTTTTTATCTTAGTAAATATTAAAAAAATAAAGGCAAAGGAAGTAGGCGTTAATGCATGTAATGTCTGTATATAGTGATAAGTTTGCACACATAATGTGATAACAAAGCATGACTAATATTGACATTTGATCTGTATTGGTATTGTACATATAGAATATATTATAACACAAACCATACCTGAATATTCATTATAAAAAGTTCAATATATTTTACTTATATTGTTTCCAATCATTTTACTTGTTATATTATATATAGAAATATTAACATTAATACAAATAAAAAAATTCTTGATGTATTCAAACATTGTAATTAATATTGACTTAAATATTATAAAACATTCAGAAAACTCACTGGTGTAAATGTTCCATTAATAGGATTGTCATTAAGACAAACGTCTATGGTGCTATTATCATCACTATGTGGCACTGCTGTTTGATTAACCATTGAAACAATAGCTACAGATAAATTCACTCTCATAGCATATACAAGAGCAAACCCTAAAAATCCTAATAAACCCAATGTATGTCTCGCTTTCATACATGATTTTGTATCAGTTGGTGTATCTGATTGCAAAACTGAAAATAAAATGTAATGATTAGATAGTGATAACATAGAGAAATGTACATATTTTTATGTAAATATTTGATTGTTTTATGACAAATCACGAACTAGGACAACTATGGTAAATAACTACAGAAATTAATTTTAAATGTTATCATAATTATAAAAAGAAATTATTCTAATGCTTGTCATCTTCACAACATTTAATTCAACTTTTGTATATAACTTTTTTTATGATTAGCAATTAGTTATGATGTAGCTCTACACGTTTATTTTTCAAAATAATAAGTGACATGTTTGTACTGAAATATATTTAAAGTTCATAGACTCTAAGTAATATAAGAAGTATATTTACATTATAAAGTATTTAATGTG